ATCTGAACGGAGAAAATCAATCAGCAACACTGGTCTTCTACTGGAGTTGTTTTCACCACACACACAGACACACACACACATACACACACACATATATACACACATATATGGACGGACACACACAGACACACACATATATACACACATATATGGACGGACATACACACACACGGACACACACAGACACACACATATATACACACATATATGGACGGACATACACACACACGGACACACACACACACACACATATATACACACAGACACACACACATGGACACAGTGGGCGTGTCTAACGAGCAGCGCGTCGTGGTTGTGCATTCGAGGCGAGCGTGTCTCCGTTTAGACCTGAGCAGCGCTTGATGTCGTCCCCGGGGCGAGGTGGGCGGGTGGAGAGAGACGTGCTGATGTTCCTGAGTAGAAGGCTGTGCTCTGTGACCTCCGGCTGAGATGCTGAGTCTCATTCTGGCTCTGAAGGTCCAGACCTTCCTGCACTTTTCAAATCAGCAGATTGAATGTGGAGGAGAATCCTGGCCTCTGAGCAAGGCACTCCAGCCTTTAGCCTGTGTCGGGCCCTGGAACCCGTGTTAACGAGCTGGGACATTAAGTCACGGAGGTGACCTTTGACCTCGTCCTAGCTACAGGTGTGACGATCTTAGCATCCTGAAGGAAGCCGGCTGGCTTTCAGCTCGGCGATCCAGAACCATCTCTCAGCCAATGAAAGTGGCTGATCTGAGAGCAGCCTGTGCGATGGATCATCATGGAATATTTCATTTGTGTTTTAATGAAGGTTTTGATCCCAGTGGATTTGCACTGTTTTATATATGCGCCTTTTATATTGTGACCTCCTTCACAATAAAGGTGCGACTTCTAACTCAAAACAAAGTTTATATTATTTATAGTATATTTATTTTTTCAATTACTAATAATGCTAAGACGTTTCCTATTGCTTCTGCCTTCAGAATAAAAGCACCTGTGATGGTGACACACCAAAGGGCTTTTATTTTGAAGTGGAGGTCAGAGCTAACGTCTATAATCAGTTTACAAAGGTAATTTTGTCACGTGTGATACATATTATTGTATTATAATTATTAATATGCAGCTGCAGCTTAATCTATAATAATTCACCAAGCTGAATTCATATGTATTATAACTAAAAAGTGACTAAAGGTGAGCAGTAAAAACTACAACATTTTCAGTAAAGGAGGAAATACAAGTACCTCAACATGTGAGTATAATTAAGTAATTGTGCATCTTCTGAAAATCAGGTGTGGAAGAGAAAATGTAGAACAAGTTCAGAGCGTCTCCTTCGTCCCACTTCCTGTCCTGATGAGCTGCAGCGATTCAATTATTACCTCCCTCTTGTCCCCCGAGACACACACACACACACACACACACACACACACACACACACACACACACACACACACACACTGCACTCAGGCGTGTCGGTCTAATTAACACGTAGACGTCTTTATTAAGGTAAAAGGCTCTTTTCTCATTACGGAGGCTTGAATCACGTCTTCTTCTTTTAATCACGACTCCGTCAAATCCTCTGGTCTCTCGTTCTGTGGGAGGATCAGGACTACATGAGACCGGTTCATAGAGGATCAGGACTACATGAGACCGGTTCATAGAGGATCAGGACTACATGAGACCGGTTCATAGAGGATCAGGACTACATGAGACCGGTTCATAGAGGATCAGGACTACATGAGACCGGTTCATAGAGGATCAGTTAGATACTCTCACACTAACCCCGGGCTCCACTCATTAGTCTCTCTATATTCTGGACGGTCCCGGACATAAAGGGTCTTAACCTCCACTGAACGGGATCAGGCAGCTAAGCTGTGTGAAGCCCCACGGACAGATTGGCCTGCGGACGCTCACTCAATGACAATAAAAACCTCTTCATCTCCTCTTCAGGGACGTTAAGTACATTCTATGCACTATGACTCATGATTGTGTTTTTCTGGGCTCATTCAGGACTTTGTTCCAGTAAAAACTGTTTTAGAATGAAAGGAAACAAATATAATTCAGGATAAAAAAAAACAATTTTCTGCTTTTCCAGCTCTTTGTGAGAAATGGATGATGTGGTTGAAACCCAGGAGCTGCTGACTAAACACAGTCTCATGGCTCTGTCAATATTTGGACATGCTGGATGATTTATGACGCTGGTGTTCCGTGTGCTGTGACGTCTCGCTGCCGTGTGCACACGGCTTACAGCTAAACTCTCCTAACGTGTTGCACACGACTCGAGTTTCAAACTGCGTCTACTAGTCGGGAGCATTACATAAAGAATACCCACACTGCCTGAATACGTAGTACGTGAGAGAAAGATCCAGCAGGTCCAGCAGACGGCAACCTCTGGTTCATTAAAGTCAAGTCAAAGCTGCATTCTGTGTAGTGACCAGCAGGGGGCGACTCCTCTGCTCATAGACGTCTATGAGGAAATGACTCTACTTCTCTGTAGTGACCAGCAGGGGGCGACTCCTCTGCTCCCATAGACGTCTATGAGGAAATGACTCTACTTCTCTGTAGTGACCAGCAGGGGGCGACTCCTCTGCTCTCATAGACGTCTATGAGGAAATGACTCTACTTCTCTGCAGTGACCAGCAGGGGGCGACTCCTCTGCTCCCATAGACGTCTATGAGGAAATGACTCTACTTCTCTGTAGTGACCAGCAGGGGGCGACTCCTCTGCTCCCATAGACGTCTATGAGGAAATGACTCTACTTCTCTGTAGTGACCAGCAGGGGGCGACTCCTCTGCTCCCATAGACGTCTATGAGGAAATGACTCTACTTCTCTGTAGTGACCAGCAGGGGGCGACTCCTCTGCTCCCATAGACGTCTATGAGGAAATGACTCTACTTCTCTGTAGTGACCAGCAGGGGGCGACTCCTCTGCTCATAGACGTCTATGAGGAAATGACTCTACTTCTCTGTAGTGACCAGCAGGGGGCGACTCCTCTGCTCCCATAGACGTCTATGAGGAAATGACTCTACTTCTCTGTAGTGACCAGCAGGGGGCGACTCCTCTCCTCCCATAGACGTCTATGAGGAAATGACTCTACTTCTCTCTTGATTTATTCCCTCAGTAAACGTTGTAAACATGAGTTTATGGTCTCAGTCTCTAGTTTCAAGTCTTCTTCAGTACAGCGTGATGTTCATTTAGTAGATTTAGAGTCAAACAGACCATAGAGTAGGGGAGGCTTTGGGGCGGGGCTATACTCTGATTGACAGGTCTCCATCAGCTATGGCCTCCATACGTTAGAGAGGTTTAATCTTAATAAGAACACCTGCATGTTAACAGGAATAATGAACAAGTTAACAATTATGTGATTTGTCTTTTTCGATTTGAGGTTGAAAATCTTGAATGTTGGAGAACGCAGACGTCCTCCGTGTGTATAATGTAGCAGAAATCTTCCTCTCGTTGGGGTCATTGGTTTCTTCATGGTCCTGACATGAAAAAGAGTCGACTCGTGGTGTAGATTTTACACTTAGCGTCGGAGCAACGGTGAGCGAGACCGAGATGAAATCTCTCCAGCTTCAGAACTTTCTGACCACGATGCACCGCGTGGAGTTTCCCTCCCCGACTGTTCCCTCTATTAATCAGGGCGGGGAGGCTGCCAATGGTCCACTTAGGGCCGCAGAGGGTGACGGATGAGGTGTAGCGAGGTGACGAGAGGAGCCTCCCAGGGCTTTGTGATAACTTGTTCCTCTAACCGGCTGTCTGGAGTCGGGAACTTGTCTTTTATTTTGAAATGTAGGCTGATACCAGAGACACAGTGCGTGGAAACCAATCATTTAAACATTTATTGTCATATGAGAGCTACCAATGTTCTCTGGTGTTCTTTTGTGGATTCAACAGGAACGTAGAACGCTGGAATCCCACTGGAGTGACTTGTATCCCTCTGGGATCTGATTCCACTCATTTTAACTGGTTCATTCCAATAATCTTTTGTACTTTGTTATCTGAATGCATTCAAATGCGTCCTGTGGCGTTTGGGTCTAAACTTCAAATACATTCTGCAGTTTAGCCTCATTTGAACCGACATCCTCTGCTGTTTTAACCTCCTTTAAACGTTACACGATGACGTCATCGACAGACACACACACACACACACACACACACACACACTCTGCAAACCACGGAGCTTCCTGATTGGCTGAGGGAGGGGGCCTGGCATTGCGGAGCTGAGTTAGAAAAGGGGAGGGCAGCGAGTTATCTCAATCACACACTCACACACTCACACACACACACTGACACACACACTCACACACACACTGACACACACACTCACACAGCGATGATGCTCTCGGCCATCTTTCCCCGTTTGGTGTCGTGCAATCTGTTTTGGCTGACGTCTGAACCACACTGCAGCTCAGCTCAATGATACCGGCCCACACACACACACACACACACACACACACTCGGGCATCAGTCAGGCGTTTCCCAGCCTCCTTCGTGGTCGTCTGTGCGTCAGTGTCTCGTGCGTCAGGTGTGATCTTTCTCTCGGTTAGCGTCGCTGTCGTTCGTCGTCTCTCTCTGGTTCTGCTGGTTGAGTCGGTGCCGCTTGGATCCGAAGAACCCAATCCTGCGGTGGGACCCGCTCGCAGAAGCCTCAAAAGCCCCGCAGGCCAGAAAGTCTGAATTCTACAAGCAAAGCCTCTATTTAGAGGTCTGTGCAGCACATATCTTCAGTTTATAGACCGATCCGAAAACCTCACGTTTATCGTCTTCTCTCCCAGACCTTCAGTTAGGTCAAGCTTCCACACGAAGGTTATCAACCACCTGCAGAACCCAGGTCACCACCTGACATCTTTCCTACAGCCCTGAACCCCGTAAACCGGACTTCTGGTGTCCAGACCTTCCAGTCTATGAGTTAGATTCAGCACCGCTTGTATTACATGGACCAGAGCTTTGTCCTCCACTGGATACGTTGATCTCAATAGGTTTCTCTTAATGTGCTGCAGTATTTAAGTATGTTAGTATTTGAAAGTACCCGGAGAGCAGAAGCGACAGCTGCGAACTCGCAGCCACTAAAGAAGATGTTTAGAGACTTTATCTGAGCTCCTCAGTCCCAGTAAGATGTCAATGTTCCTGTCGGTGGGGCTTGAGATGAATAAAGTCTCCAGGTACTTTCTTCAGAGCTTTGTGTGGTCGCTGTTTGCGTTGCCGCTGTCCTTATTGGGGTGAACTGGCTCTAAGGCGTCATCATTTCACCCAATCACAAGCCTGCAGCCTTCACCCGCCGCCACAGCCTCCCATAATGCACTCGTTAATATATTCATGGCAAATACGATTAGGAGGGACGGAGAC